GTGATGTTGTGAGGGTGTTGTTGGAAGGCTATGCGAAGGTGTAGGTGTTGTGTGGAGGTGAGGGGCAGGTAATTCTGTGTGAGATTTGGATGTGTGTGTGGGTGTGTGCGGGTGTGTGGAGTGGGAGTGTTGTGTGAGGAGAGTGTGAGGATGTGAGCATTGAAGGAGAGTGTTTCATGGGAAAGATATGTGAGTAGTGTTCTGTGCATAGGTGAGTGAAGGTCTGTCACATGACAGGCTGTTCGCCGAGCCACCTTGACAGGGAAGGCAGCAGCCTCCTGTTTGGGCAGGTCCAGGATATCCCAGGGCAGGGCTGAGCTGGATTGGAATCAGGTCCCACCCTCTCTTCTCTCCTGACTCGGAAACCCCGTGCGTCCCCATCATTACCCAGGAGGGGCCCCCAGAAAGTGAACCAACTGGAAGGAAGCCTGAGTCCTGAGCCCCAAGCAGGAAGAGGCTCCTGTGGACTCCTCCTGGGCCCTAGCGTCCAGCTACCCCACCCTGCGTCCCTGTTTTTCCTGCCCCACTCTCTCTTTGTGTTGTCTGTGTGCCCTTCCCACTTCTCTGCCATCCTTGGCGCTGACTCACCCCTCCAGACTTGGGTCCCTTCTCCCTCCTGGGAGTGGGTTTCCCTGAGCTCACTTCTGTGGGGCCTTGTAGATCTGCTGCAAGATTATCACCCTTTGGACCCAGGAAAAGTAAGAAACCATGGAAGGTAGGAAACCTCAACCTCTCCCATGCCCGTTGGACAATCAGGTAAATTGAGGTATGCCAACTATGAAAATCCTTGCTCTTTTTTTCTATCACTACCAGAATATTTTACATCCAGGCCCACTAAGGGACTTCAGTTCCAGAGGTCCTTTCTGTCCTCAGTGCCCAGCTCCCAGAATCCTCTCTGTCCTTGGGACCCAAGTTCCTATCAACCTCTGTATCCCCAGAACCACAGCTCTGAGATACTCCTTTTCCATTCTCAGCTTTTCTTTCTGTAAACTGGGGAAAGAGATGGTCAGGCTGGATCACTTCGAATCCTTCCAGGGCTCACATTCTCTGTGTTAGGATCGATGGAAAAGAAGTGTCCAATCTGGATTTGGGATACTAGGTTGGTAGTAGCTAAGAGTTGTCTTTGCCCCATAGGTCCACTTGCCCGTGACTCTGTCTCTTGTTCCAGGTGCAAGGCACCCTGGGAGATGTTTTGGTTCTCATCTGTCTTCTTTGGGTCCCACCATTTCTTCCATCTGAGGACATCATGAAAGTGATGGTCCTGTCCCCACTTACTCCAGGGTAGTTTATCCATTAGGGTCTTCATGCAAGTGACAGCAAATCCAAACGAACTGGTTTAAGAGGATAGTTTCACATATAAAATAGTCTCGGGGGGGGGAGTGTAGAGGAGGGTAAAGGGGGTCAAATATATGGTGATGGAAGGAGAACTGACTGGGTGGTGAGCACACAATGTGATATATATTGCAGGTGATGTATTATAGAAATGTATGCCTGAAACCTATGTAATTTTACTAACCATTGTCATCCCAATAAATTTAATTTTTAAAAAATCGTCTCATGTATGGCTGGCTTCAGCATGGTCTGTCCTGTCCAGCTATCTGTCCTCAGGATAAATGGCTCCCCTCATGTTGCAGGATGGCTGGGGCCATACTGTTCCTTCACATTTGGGAGGAACACATGGAGAAAAAGATAGACAAATAGACTGAGAGAGCCAGACTGAGGAAGACTGAGGGGGAAGAGACAAAAGGAGAGAAGAGACTTTGAGAAGCTCCTCAAGAGAGAAGGAAAATATTTTCCCGCAGAAGTCCCTAGAAAAACCTTCGATTGTGTCTCATTGGTCCAGATGATGCCACCTGCCCATCACTGAACCAATATCAATGGCCAGGGGATGAGATTACACTGATTAAAGTAGACATGAGCCAAAGCTCACCCCACCCCCAGGCCAGAGGTGAAACCAGAGGTGATATTAGGGAGACAGCTGCTGTGCCTGTTACTTGAGGGGAGGAGAAGGGAATGGGCTGAACACTGTGAGTTGACCATTTTAGAGTTTTTGAAGTTGTGAGATGGTGCAGGGTTTGTTAATTGCTCACTCAATGTCATTCTGAGACAATAGAAATATATATTTGGTCTTTGCCCCCAGTTCCTGGCACAGAGCTCCTGAAGCCTTTGTTATTGTTTGAGTGATAGGAGTGTCTTTTGTTTTAATGAGGTGACTTTGGGTGGGCTGCTGGATGGCTCCTGGATGACAGCTGGTGCCTTACACATCTCTTCCATCTGGATGTTCATCTGCATCCTTTATCATATCCTTTTATAATAAACTGGTAAACATAATTGTTTTCCTGAGTTCTGTGGGTCACTCTAGCAAATTAATCAAATCTGAAGAGGGGATCATGGGAACCTCTAATTTATAGCCAATTGGTCAGAAGTACCGGCGACAACCTGGATTTGCCACTGGCATCTGTAGTGGGGAGTGGTCTTGTGGGACTGAGCCCTTAACCTGTGGGATCTGATGTTATCTCCAGATAGATAGTGTTACAATTGAGTTAAATTATAGGACATCCTGACGATGTCACAGAGAATTGCTTGGTGTGGAGAACCTCCCCTACACACACCCACACACACCCATACACACACTTGGTGACCAGAAATGTTGTGGGTATGGTAGTAGTGTGAAAATAAAGGTGGCACACAGGAGAAAGACATAGTAGGGAAGAACTGTTTTGTTTTGTTTTTCCTATACAGGAGGAAGACTGGGTATTTTTCCCTAATTCACATTCCCTCCGCTTTTTTCCTTCTTAAAAAATTCTAATGTTGGTCAGGCATCCACCTTTCTTTAATAGCCAGATGATGTGGGGGCAGCCCTAGGAGTGAGGTTTGAATATGCTTTGCCAAATATTGTGGTTCCATGCCTCCCCTCCAGTGATTGTCACAAGCAGGGGTGTATGAAACAAGTCAGGTGAAAAAAACATGAGGGTAAATTGGCCTGAAAGTTTTGGGATAATTTTTCTTTATTTTTGAAAAAGAGACCGAAGTAGAAATGGACGGCCCTTTGTTATTGCCTCTGAATGTGAGTGTGATGTCTGGAAGTACAGCGGCCATGTCAAGGCCAAAAGGTGGACAAGCCTGAAAGGATCCTTTGGGACATAGTGGAAACACTGAACTAGTCAACCCAGGGCCTGCTCTAACTCATGATCTCTTGTTCTGTGAGATAATCAATTTCTTCTTTGTTTCAACTATCTTGAGTTGGGTGTCCTGTTACATAAAACCCTGGCCACTATATAGCCTGTGAGTCACACAGAATACATGGAGGCAGCCCTGCTTGCAGATTAAAACATTCTAAGTGATAGTTTTTTGTTTGTCTGTTTTTTAAAAGATTTTTTTATTGGGGAATTGAGGGAGGGGAACAGCACTGGGGAATCGGGAAGGGGAACAGACAAGTTGCTGTCCTTTTTGTTCTTCAGTCTAGTTGTGGAGGACATTGCTTCACTGGGCCATGTTGGTATTAACATTGCGCTCTTCCTGGGTGAGGCAGATTGGTCGCCGGCCATTGGACGGCCGCTCACAGCGGCTCTTGGCAGCTCACACCGGCTGCCGTCCGCTCATGCTGGCTGCTGGCCGCTCATGCTGGCTGCTGGCCACACACGGTAGCTTACAGCAGCCCACTGCAGCAGGGGCTGCAGCCTACACCATCGCCGGCGACTCACTGGAGCCCAGTTCCAGGTCGAGCTGTTGTTCACCACCTTAGCTGTAGAGGGCAGTGTCACTGGCGCTCATGTGGGATCTGAACTGGGGCCCTGCTGCTCAGAGCTGGCGTCCCAAGCCAGCTCTTCACCAACGCACCACTTGGCCGGCCCCTCTAAGTGATAGTTTTTGTTTCCAGTTGCTCCCCCATCCTCGTGGTAGGATGTCTCTCACAGAGGTTGTTTTCTGAGCTCTGGCAGAGTGGACTGCAGACCATGAGAACTGCAGTTGAAGTGGATGCCTCTTTACAACCTGAACAACTGTATGTGGTGGCTTTGATGTGACCTTCTCTGACTGTAGCAGTGGGGGTCATAGGCAGGGCCTGCCTCAAACTGGACATCAGAGTCTATGTCTGCTAAAATTTTAGAACCAGGACCCAGTAATTCTTGGTATTTGACATTTTAAAGGCATCTTTGGCTACTATGTGTGAAGTAGGAGAAAGAAGTCTGTGGAGAGACAGAAAAATAAAGTGGAAGCCCATAAGGGAAGCCACACATTCAGAGACAGAGAGATTTTGCAAAAGGGGAGACAACCTTGATTTCACACAGCTTTTTCAATTCTGTTTCCTGTCCCTGGTGAGACCCGGAGTCCTAGTGCTTGCCTGGATTCTAAACTTCCAATAACGTTGTCATTTTTGCTTAAGTCAGCTTAAATAGATTTTACTTCTTGCAGCCAAGATTCCTGAACAAAAACTTGGGAGCCATTAACGATGAGGTCCTGATTACAAGCTCTGGTATAGAACATTATGAGAAATTTAGCCCTAGCCTCAATATCTGCTGTAGGGCATCATGGGACATGTATTTCTGTCTTCTAATTCTGTGTAGGGCACCATGGGAAATGTGGTCCTAGCCTCCAATCTCTGCTGTAGGGCACCATAACCTCTAATTTGTGTTGAAGGGAGTCATGGCAAAGGTGAAACTATACTCAATTTTAATTATGGGGCATCTCAGAAAACGTCATCTTGGCCTCATCAGTGCTGCAGTGCAATGGGAGATAAGAGTCCTCGCCCAGTTTTTGTTATAAGATACCATAGATGTCGTCTTTCCTGCCTTTCTTCATCACCTGCCATGTCCCAGGCACTATTCTAAGTACTGGGGAGACAGTTATGAGCAAATAAAAGGCCTTGTCCTTTATGGAGATTTAGCACAAGAAAGAAACAAACAAACAATTGACTGTTCCAGTTAGCCATTGCAGCATAACAAAATAACCCAAAGCCAAGTGGTGTAAAACCACAACCTTTTTATTTTATGGGTCTGTGGGTCAGGAATTTCAGCAAGGCTCAGCAGGATCAATGTGTACCTGCCTCAATGAACTGGGGCCAAAATGGGGTGTCTTGAACAGCTGGAGATGGACAGGATGGTCCGTCCATTGGGGACCATATATCTGAAAACTTGGTTCTGACTCTTGGCGGGTGTTGTGGGTTGAATTGTGTCACCTCAAAATGTATGTTGAAGTCCTAACCCTCAGAATCTATGAATATGACATTATTTGGAAATAGGGTCTTTGCAGATGTGATTAAGATGAGGTCAGACTGGATTCAAGTGGGACCCTAAATCCGTGAGTGGTGTCCTTAGAAAGAGATTTGGAGATGCACAGCCACCTTCACAGAGAAGGCGGCTAACGTGACAACAGGGGCAGAGATTGCAATGATGCAGCTTTAAGCCAAGAAACACCGATTGTCAGCCACCACCAGAAGCTAGGAAGAGGCCAAGAAGGATTCTTTCCCAGAAACTTTAGAAGGAGCATGGCTCTGCCAACACCTTGATTTTGGTTTCTAGCATTGAACAGTCTGAGAGAATAAGTTTCTGTGTTTGAAGCCACCTAGTTTGTCAGTTTGTAGTAATTTATTACAGCAGCCCTAGAAAATAAAAGCAGGTGGGTTTCCTGGTTCTCCTGCACATGACATCTGCTGGGGTTGCAATGTCCAGGTAACACCTTTGCCCACTTTGTCTGGTGTCTGGGCTGAGATGGCTGGAACGTCTGGGGCTGTTTCCATATGGCATCCATGCATGCGTAGACTGGGTATCCTCGTCGCATGACAGTCTCAGTGCAGGACTTCCATGCGGCAGCTGGCTTCCTCAGAGCCAGACAGTCCCAGAAGGCCTGCCACCACATTCTGTTGGTCAAGGCAGTCACAAAGCCACCCGTGTTCAAGAGGTGGAGGTAAAGACCCCACCTCTTTAAACCACCACAATGACAGGTGATATGTGACTTAAAGAGGTCCTAAAAAGACACCCTGTCCCTCACCTGCCCCCACATACCATAGATGTCTTATCTTTTTCTTCATTCGCCTAGGGCCCCACGGGGAATGTAATTTTGTCTCTATGGGTTTGCCTCAGTGACTCACGGGAAACATGAATTCTTCAATATTGTGCTCCAAGAGTGCCACTGAAATGGTAGTTCTGTTTTTTTTCTCAGTCTGAGGGCATCCTGGGAAATATAACCCAGCCTTTATCTCCTGCGCCCAGGGCATCAGGGGAAATGTAGTCCTGTTCTTATTCCTCACTGCAGTGCATTAAGGGAGTTCCTGTTTCAGAGCCCCCAGGAAATGCCCACATGTTTTCTTAGAACAACAAAGTGGTCTTGAGCTTTGGAGTCTGGGAGAAGATACTGGAAGATTAGTGCTTGGGTGAGTGAATAGAATATTGCCATTTGGAGCCCAGAAATAGATTTGCATGTGGCTTAGGGTGGAAGCCCACATGGGACTGCTCCTAAGGTGGGGGCCTTGAATGCCTGTGTCCTACTAGATGACCTCTAATTCCAGGAGCCTGAGGAAGGGTGCCCCCCCCCATTCATCCTCCCAAAGATGGATGCCAGAAGGGCAGATCTGGCCTTGTTCACTGGTACAAAAATCTTTATATAAGTATAAAATATTAAATAAAACAAATATTAATTAATAATAACAACAATAGCGGCAACAATATTATAATAACAAGAGCTCTCCTGCTGGCCCGCAGCCTTTCTCCAGCTTTTTTCTTCAGGTTCTCACAATTTTATGAGATAGGTGTTTTCACAGCTAGGGAAATTGAGGCCCAGAGAAGACAGCACACTGGCCTGAAGTCACACAGCAAGTCTGCAGGGCTAGGAGCTGAAGGAAGGGCAAAGGGATTCCCTGGATCCAGCCAGAGCAGGGAGAATGTGGGGTTCAGGTACAAAGGAGAGTATCTCCCCATAGTCTGGCAGTCATAAGTAGGGTGCCGATGGTGAGGCTGAGGTGGGCAGGGCCAGGCCGGGGGGCACCTCCCTTGCGAAAATGGATATCCTGGGTTGGGTCATTACACCTATTTCCAGTACAGCATGAGACGTTGAGATGGGTCAGTCTGAAGGCTTCAGCCACGTGGAGGCGTTGGCACCATGAGGGCGTTGCACAGCCCCTTACTGTGTAGCTTGGGTTTCCCAGCCCTGAGGAGAGAGAAATCTATGTGAGACTCTCAGGTCTGGGGCCTGAGCTTCTCACTGGGTGACACGCCACCATGTGGTAGGTACCACCTGGAGAAAACAGAAGTTCTAAGTGTGGTCCAGGGCATCTGTGAAGTCAAAATTATTCTCACAATAATGCTAAAACATCATTTGGCATTTGTGCTCTCATAAACGTACAGTGGGGTTTTCTGGAAACACCAGGACATGTGATCTTGCAACAGATTGAATGCAGAAGCAGATATGAGGATCCAGCTGTCTTCTATTAAGCCAGACATTAAAGAGATTTGCAAAACTGTAGAACAATGCCAGTCTTCTCGTTAAATTTTTTTCATTTTAGAAAATACAGGGGTCTTTTTTCATAAAAAAATATTTTATGTTCACATGTAATGAATTTTAACCATTATTTTAAAATGAATTAATAAACTTAAATTTCTCAGTTTTAATTCCTAATGTAGTAAATATATATAGGTGTAACTGACATAAACAATCATTTTTAAGAGTGTAAAGGAACCTTGAGACCAAAAAGTTTGAGAACCACTGGAACCTTTCCAGGCTGTCAAGGATAGAAATCAGGGATGTCGACAGTAAGTCCCACCCACCTAAGGAAGTCCCACCCCCAAGGAAGTCCACATTTCTATAGCCAAAATATCCACTTCCTCATGGACAAGTCCTACTTCCTTGCTATCACGTGCACCCTCTTGAAGGAAGTCCTACCTTTTCCACAGGAAGATCCACCTCAGTTAAGTCCAGCTAAATTGGAAGTTGACCTCTTAAAGAACACCCCTCATTAAATATCCCCTCTCAGCTTCCCAAAGGGCCTCACCATTAGTGCCTGTAGCTTCCAGACATTGACTCATGGGGCCTCGGCAGGCAGTGAGGGAAGTCTCTTCAGTGGAGCATCCGTGGGTGCTGTTCCCCTCACAGCTGTAACACTGGAGGCCGTTCAGTGGCAGGTTTTTAAGCTCCAGGACTTAAGAGAAGATAAGTGACATAGAAACCAATGAAATGAGCATGGGGTAAGGGTCTGGGGAGGGGTGTCCTTCCTTGCACTGACTCCTGATAAAGAGGAACTGAAACTTTAAGGAAACATAGTTAGGCGTGAGGGTCTATGGGAGGAGTTAGGGCCTATGGACGTTCACTCAAGAACCCTACAAGAAGAACTAATTTCCTTTATAACAAAATCTATGGTTCTAACTTCCTTTTTCCCTTCCTTAAATACCCCTCCATCTTGGCACGCAGGCCAGCATGTGCACGTGGCTTGCCATCTCTGCACGCACTGGGTTGCAACGCTTTTCTTTTTTTCCTCTTTCCAAAATAAATCCTTTTTGGTGATGAAATACCTAGTCAATATTATTTTTTAGTCAACACTCCGAACTCTCAGCCTGAGATGTCATAATGCCCCCTTGTGGTCATACATTGGAATGACACTCTTTTTTTTTCTTTTTCTTTTTTTTTTTTAGCTGAGCCATCTGCCACCTGTTGGCAGCTCAGCAGCAGCTCAGCTCGGGTGGGACTCGAACCGCTGTTGTTCACAGCGCGCACTCTTGAGCGAGCTCTTGACCAACTGAGCCACTCGGTCAGCCCAGGCATGGCACTCTCTTTTAAGGGGGGGTCTCTAGGGCCTGTGAGAGAAAATCCAAATCCAGGCTCTCCATGAGTACCTATCTGACCAGGCACTGGGTAAGCAGCTGTGTAAGATGAAACAGTCCCTGCCCTTACAGAACTTAACAATTTAGAACAACACTGTCCCATATAGTAGCCACAAGCCACATGTGGTTGTACCTACATTGAAATTGATTAATAATATTAAATAAAATTCAAAATTCAGTTCACATTTCAAGTGCTCCATAGCCATGTGTGGTAGTGGCTACCATACGGCACAGTAAAGATATGGACCATTTCCATCACTGTGGAAGGTTCTGTCAGACAGTACTGGTTTATAGAGACAGAATAACACAAAGGATCTGGATTATATTGAAGGGGGGCGGGGCAGAAAGTTTCACTGAGGATGATACTTTAAAGCTGAGACCTAACAAATGAGGTGAACTCCTGGGAGAGACGTGTTTCTGGGGGAGAATAGTGCATGTGCAAAGGCCATGAGGCATGGCAGAGTTTGGCAGCTGCAGAAACAAATGAAGACCATGAGGCAGACGGGTGATGGATTACAGAGGGCACAGTATATATAGACTTTGGATTTTACTCTAAGAGCAACAGCAAGTCCTTAAAGTGCTTGAGGAAGAAGAATGGCATGATCCGATTTACATTAAAAATATATATATTTCTCCTGCTGCTGTGTTGACCACTGGCTGTAGGGTGGCAGGAGTGGAAGCAGGGGAACCAGAGAGGAAGTTATTGCAACAATCTAAACGAGAGGTCATGGTGGCTTGGACCAGGGTGATGAGCAATGCAAGGATTCAAGAGGATGCAGAAAGTATCAAATGTGGGTCTTGGTAAAGGTTTGATAGACACACTGAATTCCCACAAAATCCTGCTGAGGAAGGGCTTGCTATGCCCGTCTTTCAAAAGAGGAAACAGAGGCCCAGAGAGGCGGGGTTTGCCTTCGAGCCACAGTGTGGCTGAGTGCACCTCCCTGACCTGATCCCAGATCTCAGGCCTCACACCAGGTTCCCTGCCCCTTACCTGGGCCCCCATTGCATTTGGTGGTGTTGCAGCACTGCAGGAAATGGAAGGTGTGGTTGTTGTGGAAGCCGGTGGGGCCTGGGCAGCCAGGAAGGTTGCCACAGCCTCGGGAATGGCGTTCATCGTTTGGAATTCCTGTGGAGGGCAGAGGAGAGCGGTCAGATTGTTGATGAGGGGCTGAGACTGGATTTGCCCATCGCAGCAGTCATCCACCCACTCTCTGCTTTACCCTTCATTATAGGACTCTTATTTTCTTTGGGGCAGCCGTGTATCTAGCCAAAAGACACATTTTTCCAGTCTCTGTAGGTATAGTCATGTGCCTTGAGTTCTGGCCAATGTGATGCAAGTAGAAAGGTTTTATGGTACTTCCAGAAAGAGGAACTCTTACAAAAGGAGAGGTGCCCCTTTCTTTCCCCTTCCTCCTTCTTGGAATTTAGACATGAGGCCTGGAACTCTGGCAGCCATCTTGGACTATGAGGCAACATTGAGAATGGAAACAATATGTAAGAAATGAGAAGGCATCCGGGTTCCTGGTGACTATGGAACTGTCCTAGTGGCCCTGGACTTCCTATCACTGGACTTTTTGTGTGTGACAGAAGTAACTTTCTACCTTGCTTCAATCCCTGTTATTTGGGGGCTGTCATTAAGTGCAGGCTTGGCAGGGAGCCATTCCTGGCAGGTTGGGGCTCACCTTCCAGACTGTGGTGGGTCACCACATCCAGGCACTCTTCTCCAGGGTTGAGGCATTGCAAGCTTTTGTCCCAGCCCCTCTCACAGCTCAGGTCTGATGAGGCGCAGGAAATACATTCAAGGTAACGCCTTTGGGGAAAGGCGGGAGTTCGGCCTGTTTGGGGAGGGGCAAGGGAGTGAGACTCCATGGGGAGAGTCCTGGAGATCCAGCTCCCTTTAGGACTCACCTCAGCATCAATGCCTCCTTATCCCACCCTTCAGCCAATCATCAAGCCCTGGGCATTCCGAATCTTTCTAAAACCCAGTCCCTCCTTTCCAGCCCCATGACCAGGTCCAACTCAGACCTCCTCCGATACCAGTTTCCTCCCTGGACTCCTGGTTTCCATTCTTGCTACCCCACCCCAGCCCCAGAACATCTCCACATGGCCCTAAAAAGATGTCGCTAATACTGTAAATCTGACCTTGTCTCTCCTCTGCTCAAAATCCCTCCATGGCTCCTCAGTGCCCTCAGAATAAAATCCAAGATTCTCTCAGTGTGGCATTCAAGGCCCATCAAAGACTAGGTCCTGGCCACCTCTCCTGCTTCGTCTCCCTCCACTGACCCCTCAGAATCTACTCTACACGACTTCCCACAGTCCCAATATACATGCTGATTGGCATCCAGCCTTTGCATCCGCTGTTCCCTTATTCCCTACTTTTCCTATCTCCTACTCATTCTTCAGGCGTCATCGCCAATTTCACGTCTTCCAAGAAGCCCTCCCTGACCTCCCAGGTTGGATCAGGTGCCCCGCTGGGCTCCCTAATGCCAGCCCTGCTCACTCTGGGTCATCCCTGTCTGGCGACATGTTTGTTTCCCTCAGGGGACTCTGAGCCCCAGGAGAGTAAGACCCAGGCTGTCTTGGTCACTACTGTGCCCAACACCACCCAGTAGAAGGCCTGGGCCAGAGAAAATATTGAATAAATATTTAATAGATGAAAGAAAGAACAAATAAATGAATGAACGAACAAACGAACGAAAGGACAATTGCTTAAAACCCTTCTATTGTTTCCTGTCTCCAAGACAGCCACAATGATCCCTGCCTCCTGGTATTCACGCCTTTGTGTAGTCCTTTCCCATAAAGACTAGGGCTGACCTGTGTAACCAATAGGATACTGTGGAAATGATGGTGTGTGACTTCTGTGCTAGATCGTAAAAGACACTGCAACTTTTTCCCAGCTCTCTCTTGGATCACTTGCTCTGGGGGATGCCAGCTGCCATGTTGTAAGGACACTCAAGCAGCCCCATAAGGCAAGGTCTGTATGGCAAGGGACTGAGGCCTCTGCCAAAGCCATGGGAGAGGGTCATCCACATGAGCGAAGCTACCTTGGGAGCCTTCAGATGACTGCAGCCCAGCTGTCATCTTGAATACAACCACATGAAAGATCCAGAACCAACTAGCTAAGCCACTCCCAGATTCCTGACTTTCAGAAACTTTGTGAAATAATACACGCTTATTGTTGTTTTAAGTTTTGGGGCAATTTGTAATGCAGCAATAGATAATTAATACGCTACCCAATTGTGTCAGGGATCAAAGCCTCACTTGATGGATCTATAACTTTGCCTTTCACATGGATCTGCCGGTTCAGGCCAAGTGGATGAGTTCCTTTTCCCTGGATTCACCAGTCGTTCCTCTGCCCAGGCTTTGGCTCACACCATTGCCAAGCCTGGCACACCTCCCCTTTCTGACCCCAGATATCTGAGTTGAGTTTGGGCCAAGTCTTAGAGAAGTGAGAGGGCTGTCTCAGCCAAGGCTCTCAACTGGCAGGCCATTAGCTGTAATTAGGTGAAGCAATTACATCAAAGGCCAACTCCCCGCCCCCAGAGAAAAATAACTAGAAGGCCAACAACCCATGTTTTCTCACATTAACTTCCGTGAAAATGAAAACACAAATTGCCATCATTGCCAAAATATCTGTCTCATACCACCCAAGGGTCTCCTTTGGGAACTTTTCTTCTTACGTATGTTGCTCTTCTAAACGTGGGTGATCCTCAGGGCTCTGTCTTAGGCCCTTTGCATTTCTCATGGTACACACTCTCTCCCATGGGGATGTGACCAATTGACCATGCTATCATTTCTACCTATCTGCTGGGAACTCAAAAGTCTCCATGTAAGACTTCTCTCTGAGCTCCACACCTGCATACGCAACTGCCTCCTGAGGCCCCTAGTTATCCCTCAAACACTTGAACCTCTACATGCCCCAAATGAAACTCTGCATATTCTCCGCAGACCTGCTCCTTCTCCTGAATTCCACATCTCTGAGGTGGCCTCATTCAGGTCCCAGGGCAGAAACCGAGGAGACCCCTTAAACCTCCACATCTAGGCATCAATCTGGATACTCCTATTGCCCTGTTTTGTAGTTCTTTAATCCTTTTTCTCTGCTATTTCTGGTCTCTATTAAGCACATCTACTGAGTTTTTAATTTTAGTCACTCTTTGTATTTCCTGTTTGACTCTTAAATGGATTCCAGATTTCTGCTAAAACTTTTCTTTTCCTCTATTTTCTTGAATATATTGATCATAGCTATTTTAAAGTTCCTTGTCTAATAACTCCAATATCTGAATCATTATGAGTCTGTTTCTGCTGTTAAATTTTTCTTTTTGGTTCCAGTCAACTGGTCCTTTTTATTTTCTTCAGGCTATCTTGTAAGTTTTGATTAGATGCCAGACATCACAGATGAAAATCTGTAAGGGCTTTAAATGATGTTATCTTCTTCCAAAGAGGGTTAGGTTTTCTTCCAGTCGAAGATCGGAATTAAGCATTTTTGGGCTGGTCTATTTCAGTTTTGTCCTTACTCCTAGGGTGTGGTCTCAGAGGAAAACCTGAGATGGTTACCAACACTTCTCTCACCAACTTGGCAACTTCAATCTCCCCAGCATCCTATCCCTGCTGGAATCCTTGCTCACTTCTGTAGCTTCCCAGATACTATTTTCTGCTGAGTTTCTTGGAGTCTCACCCTATGCACGTACAGCTTGCCAATGACTTGAAGGAAGTAATTTGGAGATTTGGGGACTCCCTTTTCTGTGGTTCCATGCATTCCAGGATTGTACCTCTCATTTTCCAGACACTCTGGCAGCCCTAGACTCCAACCTCTGTTTTCCTGGTCTAGCGATGATGGCTTTCTGTTTGGGTTCTACTTCCGCCCCCTTGCCCGTCCCCCCACCCCCAAGAGCAGCAAATTAAAACGTGCACTCAAGGAAACCCCCAGCTTGTCTGTGGAACTCAACTCCTGTGCTTCCCTTATTTTAAAGATTGTACCACCTCAAGTTCTCCTCTTCATCTGCTGCCCTCTAGTGACTTCAAATAACTTTATAATTTGTCCAGCTTTTTTAGCTGTCATTGGTCGGGGGCTTAGTCTGATACAAGCGACTCCATCATGACCGGAATGGCAATCCCATCGCCATGTCTAATCCATCACTAAGTGTTGCTCATCTGCTTGGTAAAGGTTCTTTTTTTTTTTTAGCTGAGCCATCCTGCCACCTGTTGGCAGCTCAGCGGCAGCTCAGCTTGGGCCAGGAATCAAATCAGCGACCCTGTTGCTCAGAGCTCACACTCTTGAGCGAGCTCTTAACCATCTGAGCCACTCGGCCGGCCTTATGCCTGGTAAATGCTCTTAATCCACACACTTCTCTCCATCTGCAGGGCTGACACTCTAATCCGGCCACCTTCTTCTTCACCTGGACAACCTCAACCACCTCCAAGTTGGTCTCCCCTCTTCTACCTTCCCTCTATCATTGCTTCCTTCTAATCTCTCCTCCACTCTGAGATCAGAATATATTTTAAAAAAAATAAATTTGATTGTGACACTCTCTGCTTAAAGCCCTTTCACAACCTCTCACTGTTCCCCGGCCCTGTGTAATACGTCCCTGCCAATTTCACCAGCTCCTCTCACCCCATTTTTCCCTTTCTCCAGCCACACTACTTTCAGTCACCTCTAGGCCTTTTTATCTGTTGTTCCCTTTGCCTGGAAAACCCTTTTCGCTGTCTTTTTAACAGTCTGACGCCCACTCATCCCTCAAGATCCAGCTTAGCAGTTGCTTCCTGTGGGAAATTTTCCCTGACCTGAGTCAAATACCTCCTTTAGAGTCCCACAACCCCTACTCTTCACTCATCCCAGCCCTGGCCACTCTGGCCTCTGTTTCCCACATCTCAGCCCTGACAATTCTGGACTGTGCTTCTCCATGACAGCTCTGACCCCTCTGGTCTCTGCTTCCCTTATTGGTTCTGACCCCTCTGCCTGTGCTTCCCCTATCCCAGTTCTGATTAATCCTGGCAGTTACTGTCTGGTGATGAGTCTGTCACCCCCGCCTCCCTCCACTGGACTGTGAGCCCCGTGCGGGCAGGGCTCAAGGCTATCCTGGTCACTGCTGTATCCCAATACTATGTAAGTACAGGACGTGGTTTAACCAACTATTCTAGTCACAAGCAGGGTAAGATGGCACTATAAATGGGGCTGATAGGGGCATATCAGTTATTAAATTACTGAATCAACAGCTGCTGCCCCAAGCTCCCTGGTGGGCCCCTGACCACTCCTAACTCTTTCTTTAGAATCCTACTGTCCCTGAGATCCATCAGCTAAAGGGTAACACCAGACCCAGCAGGGGGCCTCCAGGGGTCTATTCCCACTGATCAATACCTTCTGCACTGACCAATATTGTTAGATATTTTGAATATTATCTCTTATTAGAAGCATTACTATTAGTAATTACAATTATGATTATGTAATTAAGCACATCTAACCAAGAGAGGAAGCCGGCATCCTCTTTCTTGTCACGTCCTTGAACATGAACAGTTAAAAGTTTGAGTTCAGGATGGTTGAAGAACAAGGGGAAAAACCCCGGTGCAAACGCAGTCTCTCTGCTTACTGACGGCATTGTGACTGCACTGGCCTTAACCAATTTCCTTCCTCACCAGGGCCAGAAAGAGGAATCTGTGACTGACCATGCAACGTGAATCCAGTCCTTCCCCATCTTACTTCTCCTGTGGGAACTTGAGGAATTGGAACCTTTCTAAGTCTTTTTCTTAAACTGACCAGAGCCTAAAACCATGAAACTCAACGAAAGGGCTGTGGAAGTTTTTTCACTGCCCAAGTCAAGGACCATCTATTCTAGGGAAATTTCTGAGCCCAGTGCAGCCTGTGATCGCATTGCTTTTGACTTCCCTTAAGAATGTTAAGTCTCTGGTGTGCTTGGTCTTTTATCTTATAGCATCTATTGCCTGAACCATCTCCTGTCCCATGGAAAGAAGCAGATAGCAGAACATCAGTAAGATACCACATCTACCTCTCAAGCGGGTATATGTGTGTATAGTTTCTTAAGGGCAGGTGTTGCATCTTATACCTAACAACCATAAAAACAAACATGGATGGGAATGGGGTAGGGTTAGGGATGGGGACAAGTTCGTAGTTGGGGGTGGGACTGGCAACAGTTTGAGATGAGATGGAGTTGATTTGGGGATGGGGTTAGAGATGTGTTTGAAATAAGGATGGGTTTGAGTTGGAGGGTGCTTGGGTAAAATGAATTTGGGGATGGGACTGGAGGCGAGGTTGAGCTGGGATTGAGGGTGAGGCTGGGCCGGAGATATGTTTGGGAGAAGGAAGGATTTGAGTTGTGTTGGTCTTGGGGTAAGGCATGGAGTTGGGGTTAGGGTGGCATAGGATTGGGGATAGGATTGGGGATGATGATAAGGTTGAATTGGGGATGCTTTAGGGTTGGGCATGGCAAGGGCTGCCTTACTCACCAGGTTTGGGCCGGTTGCACAAGTCTGACCCACATACGGTCTCGGTCAGGGTGATGACCTGCATGCCTATTCGATAGCTCATGGTCCTGTTGGTCTTCTCTGGGTGGGCACAGTCTTTCAACACCACCTCCAGGTTTTCACCTTCTGTGAGGAATATATTTTTGTCACCTCAGAGGCTCCCCTGGACCCAGCCAGCCTCTAACACTTCTGGTCTTAATGTCACCCACTCCCGGAGCTAATCCCTGCCAGGCCTCTACTCTTATTTGGGTCCAACTCTGTCTTTACTCGAGTTATCCACCCCACTCCACTCTGGGAGCCTACTCGGTGATAACACCATCACTGGGTCCTTCTAGGTCCACCTGCCTCTCCCTCCCAGCTTAGTGATCTTAGCAGGGAGATGCTTCTAATAGAGATTTTTAAAGGAAAATGCTTCCAGCTTACCAAAAAGTATAAGACAATAAGATAATAAATAACTGTGTATTCATGACCTAACTTGATAAAATATTAGCATTTTGCTATATTTGTTCAAATATTTTAAAAAATAAACTAAATTTAAAAGATATAGTGCAAGCCTCCTGCTCACACCCCCAAATCACATTCCCATGTCCTGTTCAGAGGCAACCACTAGTGTAGGTAGTTCTCACACTTTGTATGCATAACAACATATACTATTTACATAACTTTTACATATTTTACACTTAATATGGTTTTTTCTCACCACCTTACGTTTTTGAGATGTATCCACGTAATACCTGCAGCTCTACTTTTTCATATAAACTGCTGTGTAGTATTCCATTATGTAATTATACCTTAATTTTCTCTTCTGTTGCTGACTGACTGTAAGGTGTTTCCTATTTTCCGTATCACATTACTGCTAAAAACATTCTTATACATATGTCCCTGGGTACATGTGGCCAAAGTTCTTTGGTGTTTCTATATTCCTAGGAGTTGCACTGCTGGCTGTAGGGCATTTTAATCTTCACCTATGTTAGATATTGCCAAATCGCTCTGTGAGGTAGATGCACCAACTGTCCCCTAAAAGCAGGGTCTGCAGTTTCACATGCTCGTTGACCCCAGTATTGTCAGATTTTTAAATGTCTGTCAATCTGGTGGGTGTGAAACAGGGTCTCCTTGTCTTTTTCGTTTGCATTTCCTTGAGAGCTGGAGAGATAAGGTTTCTTGGTCACTCATATTCCCTGTCGCGCTGGAGTGGGGAAGCTCACCTTGCCATATGCGCAGGAAGGTGGTCTTGCAGAGATTCTGGCCAGGGTCACACTCTTTCACCTGGCAATTTCCCATCCTCTCACACAGCATGCACCGCAGGCCCCAGGCGGCTGGGCAGAGAAGGAGAGGACAGGAGAAGTTGTTATAGCTCCGCGCCAGATTCCCCCTTTCGCTCACTCATGTCTCAATACCAGGACCAAGTCTCCAGATCCTGTGCACTCAGGTTTGTGTTCCACGTTCTGCTAGCTCTGGATTCCAACGCTGGGTTGGGGCCAGCTAGCTGCACTTCCAGTCTATGTTTAGCCCAATGTCCCTGTCCACAAGTCCTTCGCTACAGTTCTGCCCGCGCAGGGCCTATCCTGAAAATCCTATCGATCTAGCCCTGCTTCCATTTCGGTCCTTTTCTCTACCCTGCCGGCCCTGGGTCTGTCTACTCCGCCTCGCCAACTCTTCTAAGGGTGTTCCATCCTCATCCGACTCCGGCCGTCTTTACGTTCTACCGGCGTGCCCTCTGCCCCCTACTAACTTCCCCAGGTTCTACCCCCAGCCGTAGCTTCTCCCCAACGTCGTCTCCGCCCATCAGTCCATTCCGAAGTTCTAACCCCGCCCATCAGCCAACTGTAACTCAAGTATACTGTAGCATTTACTGATGCCTCCCGGGGGTTCTCTCCCCGCCTACTAAGCTCCTCTTCCAAGTCCTAGCTCCATCCCAAGGTCCTAGCCCCGCCCCTAGCTCTTCCCCAAGGTCCTAGCCTCGCCCTCTAGCTCCGCCCCGAGGTTCTAGCACCACCCACTAATTACTCTTCCCCCTTCTTGCTCCTTCACAAGGCTCGAGCCCCTCCCACTAGCTCCTCCCTGAGGTTACAACACTGCCCACTAGCCCTCCTCCAAGACCTATCCCCGCCCACCAGGCCTCCCCTGTGGGGCCCCCTCCCCACCCTAAATTCCTAGTCCTCCAGTCATTACTCATTCTTGTCCTCGAACGATCGAGGAAACTTTCTGGATTATTCATTGCCAAAAAACTCCCCGATCCCAAACACCACCACCCCCTCCCGCCCCGCCCTGACTCAGTTCCTTCTCAATTTCCTTTCGTTTTGTCAACCTTTCCCCCTGCCTTTTCCGGGAAAAGGAGATGATGATAAAATCTCGTTGGCTCGGGGGTAGTTGAAAGGGAAGGGTCCTCGAGGGACAAGCCCTGGGTCCCCAGCCCCTGGCTCTGCAACACTCCGCCGGACTCTCTTTAGACCTTGTGTAAAATGGGGCACTGTCCTTCCTCCCTGTCTTTCAAGGGAGTGGGGGATCCGGCAGAAGGGAGAGTCAAAATTCCTCTTATTCAAGGACTGGCGGTGTGACTTCGGACCAGTTACTCTGTGCCTCATTTTCCTTCTCTGTGAAACGGGGTTAAAATAGTTCCGCCTTCCCGGTTCAAAATTGCAAGGAAGTTGCTTAGAAGAGAGTGTGGAATAAATTAGAGCACACTCACTAAACGGTGGCTGTTGTTAAACGCCTTCGCTCAGCTAATATTTTCTGAGTTCCTACGTGTGCCAGGTACTGTGCCGTGTGGGGCTGCAGATAGGAGAATTATCGTTTGAGTTGCGGGGCTAGTAACAGGGCTCCCCTCCTCGTCCAACTCATCCGACTGCCGACGCCCCCTTCTCTCCCCTCCCTTCGGTCCCTGCCATCAGACCCAGTTTCCAGCGTAGGCATTGGGCACCCAGCCCCTACCTGGTATGCAGGTTTGAACCAACAGCAGCAGCTGCAGCAGCGGGAATCCCATGTCCGGCAGCGGCTCCTGTCCGCAGCCTCCCTGCACCTCTGAGTTTGGCCCCGGGAAGGAGACAAGTTTTGTGGCCGTGCCCCGGGGGCTCCTCCCAGAAGGTTTGCGAAAGAGTCAGTCCCACATGCGTGGGCGCCCTACCTCCTCCCCCACGTCACCCTCCCCTCAAACTTCCTTTACCGGGGCGCGACCAAGTTGCTGGGAGTCGGGGGGGCTGGCTCTGCTCTGACTCATATGGCTATGGTCACAGCTGTGCCCCCAGACTCTCGGGGTGCAAATTCCAGTTCTCTTTCTTGTTATGGGATCTTGGGCGAGGGACCTCTAACCCCTTGCATTAAAACTTGTCCCGATGGGAAATTTGTGGCTGATAATTAGATAATGTAGGATTTTTGCTAGTTTTTTTAAGGGATAATGGTGTTGTGGTTATGTGGGGGGAAATGTCTTTATCATTTAGAGATGAATGCTGAAATATTTGAGGGCGAAATAATGTAATGTCTCTAATTTCCCTTAAAACACTTCAACCAAAAAGTAGATAGTGCTGTTATGACAATGATTTTTTGGTTATGAGGGAAAATTGTTCTAATTTGTTACAGCTCACTGAAATATTTGGAGGTGAATGTCACTGATGTCTGCATTTACTACTTTAGGACAAAAGAAAAGCAAAATAGCAAAATATTTGTATCAATTAAATCAAGGTAACTTACATGCCATTCTGCCTCCTTTTCTGTGTGTTTGTAAAGATTCGTAGTACAATTTTTTAAAGTAAAATAAAATGCAAAAGATAAATAGTGTCTTCATCTCTGGATGCTTCTGACCAATCAGAGGAATTTAATGCAGATGAAATGCCTGAACAGTGAAACAAGAAGAGACAGAGAGGGCTCAACAAATTCCTTCAGCATTTACTGTGTAATGTCACACTGGTCCAGGAACTGGATACACAGCAGGAAACAAAGCAAAGCCCCAGCTCTTGTGACAGTGGGGAGTAGGTATGTGTTATCTAACTTGTGGCTGTCAGGGAATGATAAAATGGGAAAAAACAAGGTTGAAGGAGGTGCAAGTTACAAATGAGGCGTGGTCTGTTTAAGTGGGGGTGATCCTGGAGGGCTTCCCTGAGCAGGTGACATCTGAGCAGAGGCTGAATATGGTGAGATAAGAAGTCAGGCAAATGGTTCAGGAAGAGTTCTAGGGAGCGGAAACAGCCAGTGCAAAGGCCCTGAGGTGGGAGCATGACTGATGGTCTATTAATAGGAACAGCAGTGTAGCTGGAACAGAATCAGGAAGCGAGAGAGTAGCAGACAATGAGTAAGTAGTAGTTACCTCTACCACTATCCTAATGATGATTCTATTATTATTCTTATTCATTCATTGAAGCCTTAAGCTAATAATTTAAAGATCAGGTAAGAAAAATCCCAAAGAAATTCTCTATGCTAAGAGGCAGTATAGCCTAATGGTTAAGAGTGTGGGAGCTGACACCAGGCTCTGAGGGTTCAAATTCAAGCTACTCACTAGCTGTGTGGCCTTGGGCAGGTTACTTAACCTCCCTGTGCCTCAAGCTCTTTATCTGAAAACCAGAGATAACAAGTGCCTCCCTCCCAGGGCTGGTGTGCTAGGGACTTAAAAGAATGCATCCAAGGTGCTTGCTACAGTGCCTGGGACACAGTAGGTGCTCAATAAGAAACTGTAGCTGCCCTTAGTATTGTTGTGCCCAACTCTAGACTCTGGCCTGGGTTTCTCTCTGTGGGATGGGAAGGGAGGTGGAGACACGTCATCTGTATGAGGTCAGTGGTTGTCATGCTGACCATCCTCTAGCTGAGTCACCCTGGGCCAACAGACAGCCTCCTTTCCGAGCCTCTGTTTCCTCGTGTGGAAAATGGGGCCCCTCTTGGGGGTGGCATGAAGATTGAGATATTAATGTGTATGAGGCAGAGAAATAGAAAGTTGGGGTGTTAGTCCAGGTGGGTTTGGGATTCAGCTCAGCCACCTGGTCCTGGTGACCCTGGGCAGGTGGCTTCACTCCACTGATTTTTGTTTTTCCCAGCTGTGGAAGTGGGAAGGAGGGTGGGAGGCATCTCTCAGTGAAAGGAAAGCTCCGGCTTGGGGGTTACTGGGAGCTGTGTGACAGTCTGGCATTGCCACTTCCTGGCTGAATGACCTCACCATTCTGGGCCACAATATCCTCTTTTATTTAAAGAATGGGGTAAATACCTTGGACACCACTGATCCCCAGCTGACATTGCTCTGGTATCCACAAATCTCGGTCTGTCTCTCTTCTTCTGTGTCTCTCTGTCTCTGTCTTCTTCTATCTTTCTGTTTCATTCTTTTCATCTGTATCTCTCCATCCGTGTCTCTCTCTGACTCTGCCACTCTATTTTTCTCTGTACCTCTCTCTCTCTCTTTCTATCTCTGCCTCTCTCTGTCTGTTTTTAGTCTCTCTCCATGCCTTTTTTCGTCCCTCTGTCTCTTTCTGTTTCTCTCTCTTTCTCACCGTGACTCGTTCTCTCTGTTTCTCCCTCAAGTGACACACATCAGTGAGGTCTAATGATGTGTTATGGGAGGGGGCAGGCAGGAGGCTGGGCCCATGCACAATCCCAGAAAAGTGGCAGGAATGCCAGCTCCTTCCTCGTGACTCACTGGGGCTCTCTGGCCCCTGCCTGCTTGCTGCGTCCTGGGTGAGGCCACAGGTTTCGGGGACTTCCCCGGCTGAGAAGAGGAGACTCTCCTGCAGAGACAGAGAGGGAGAGAGATCAAGAGAGACAGAGACACAGAGAGGGAGAGACAGACAAGGAAGGAGAGCTAGTGAAAGAGACATGAGTTAGAGATGGGGGTAAGAGAGAGAAGAGAGGAGAGGCCATAGGCAGACTGACTCAGGAATTCAGAGAGGGGGAGAGACAGAGATAAGAAAAAAACAGCAAATGAGAGACAAGGACAGAGACAGTGAGAAACAGAGGGACAGAGAGAGAGAGACACACACACACAGAGAAGGGGACAGGTGAGGGGTTTGAGAGACAGACAGAGATTGACAGAGGGGGTTAGAGAGAATAACAGCCAATCGCCTTCAAAGTAGAGACACAGAGAGACAGACAACGTGTGTGCAAGTGAGCACGTCCATGCGAGTGCATGTCTGGGACCCCCTCAGCCTCTTGCCACCTGCCTGAGGAAGTGACTGCTCCTGGCCTGGGCTGATGGTAGGGGTGGGCTGTGGCCCCCCCAAATCCAGGAGGCCTAACAGGCAACACTGATATGGCTTTCCCATCCTGGCCTGGTCGCCTCCTAGATGTGGGAATGTCTCTTCTCAGGGCCTCAGCTTTCCTTCTGCAAAAATGAGGGACAGAAGAGGAACACCCTAGGAAGTGAAAGAGCTGGGAACCCCCTGGAATTCACATGCCTCTTCGCCCTTTTTCCAGGCAGAGAAACTGAGGCTCTCCCCTTCTTTTTTTTTTAAA